TTGGCGACTCACTTTAGACTAACTAGGGGCACCTGTCAGACAAGTAGGGGGCCCCATTCCCCCAAGACTGCTAAGCCAGGATCTCTGGCGGTGGGACCTGGAAGTCTGCAGTTAACAGGGGGAAATCCTGGGGGGGATTCTGATTTATATTCAAGTTAGGAACCAAGGTCTCCAACCTCTCCCTCCTTCCCATCTTTAGGGAAAGGTTTAGGAAAGGAGAAACCGGAAAAGCAAACCCATCAGAACTGAGTATTGCCTACTGAATGAAAAGAAGGAAGAGGGGCGAAATTTCAGCGCTGCAAACAGAACCTCACTTACACTGGATACTGAATGACCACCACTGTCTCTTCAAGTAATGGTAAATCCAGCAAGTGTGTGTTCCATTACAAAGTTGACAGCATAGGTGATTGGAAACTGGGATATGGGCCAGACATATACTCTAATTACAGAAACTCCACAACTTCTGACCACCAGGATTAAGGATCAGGATAGAAATGAGCTGGAGTAGCCTGTGGGCAAATGGGAGGATCTAGAGCAGTGCCAGCCAATAGGATTCCTGCCATGTGGAAAATTTGTGTTTGTGTGCACACACGCACACTATTCAATATGGCAGCCACTAGCCACATGCGGCTACTGAGTATTTAAAATGTGGCTAGTGAGACTGAGAAGCTGAATTCTTAATTTTACTTAATTTTAATTAATTTAAATTCAGATTTTAAAAGCAGTCCACACAATTATGGTCAGTTGCCCTTCAACAAGGTTGTTAAGACAACACAAGGGGTAAAGGATAGTCTTTTCCTTCTCTCTCTCTCTTTTTTTTTTTTTTTTAGGATAGTCTTTTCAATAAGTGGTGCTGGGACAACTGGATTTCCACATACGAAAGAATGAAGTTGGACCCCCGCCTCACAACATATACAAAAATTAACTCAAAATGGATCCAAGACCTAAACATAAAAGCTAAACCTATCTCTCTCTGAACAGAACAATGGTATAAATCTTTGTGACTTTGGATTAGGCAACAGTATTTTAGATATGTCACCAAAAGTACAAGCCAGCAAAGAAAAAATAAATTGGACCTCCTCAAAATCCAAAACATTTATGCTTTAAAAGATACTATCAAGAAAGTAAAAAAGATAAAAAATAAATTTAAAAAAATTAAATAAAAAAATAGGAAGAAAGTAAAAAGACTACCCACAGAATGGGAGAAAATACTTGCAAATTATATATAAAGGTTTAGTATCCAGATTATATAAAGAACTCCTACTACAACAATGAAGAGATCAATCCAATTTATTTATTTTTATTTTTTATTTTTTTAATTTGAAACATTTATTCACCTATAGATTGCCTTATAATAATGAACATTTTCATATGAAAAGCATGTTTAATTAAAACAGTGATATAGGTAGATGCTACAAATATATCCTTTAATATGTTTCTAATTAGAAAATTGGGCTGTTTTATTTAACCTATAATTTTTCATCTCATTTCTGCTTTTTTTCTCCTCAGTTCATGGACTGTTTTTTTTAATCTATTCTATTTTCTATTACCCTTTTAATCTTTACTTTTTAAACAATTGTATATTTCTACAGTTTTAATCCCTTCTAAATTTTTAAAAAATCTTTTTATTATTATTTTAAAAATTCCACCTCATTTCATTTTTATTGTTCTTGGTTTTGATCTCCTGTTATTGATTATACACAGGTTTTAAATATTGGGTTTTTTAAATTTTTTCTCCTTTTTTTAAGGTTTTTAAAAGACATCTCAACTCGACTGCTATTCTGCTTCAACTTGCTCTTCTATTTGATTATACACTATTTTCAAACCTTTGTTTTCTCCCTTCTTTTAAAATTCTCTTTTTTTAAGTTTTATTCCTGCATAGGCTTTAGACAGATAAATAAATAAACTCCTTAAGGACCACAATAGATAACTGATACTCCTTAAGCCACAGTGCCAGAGAGATATGAGCAAGACCAAGAAGCAGAGGAACCACTCCCAATTAAAAGAGCAAGAGAAATCCCCTGAAAGAACAATCAATGAAATAGACATTGATGGCCTACTAGATCAAGATTTCAAAAAAGGAGTGATCAAAGTACTGAAGGAACTAAAAGAGATAGTGTTTAGAGACGTAAAATACGTCAAAAATGAAATTGAAGCTATAAAGAAGAGCCAAGTAGAATTGGTAAACTGATTGGCTGAGATGAGAGCTGACCTAAAGG